CCAAGGTGTCATGTTTCCATCACTGGTGATCGGAGCTGGATCTGATAAACACATGTGACTGCTGCAGACTCATTTGTCCCGGGAATGAATGCCGATCTTAACCTTTTCCACTGAAGACAAAAGCTAGATGTTAGTGGGTTTTTGTCCATGACATTACCCATCGCAACGATACAATCTCCTACATGTTTGTGATAAAGCCTGCAGTACTTTACTAATACATTTCTGCTATATTTTAAGATGTGGGAAAACTGAATGAGAAAAAACCCTCCTTTTGTCCTTCTATTTGTGTTTTTGCCGCCCTGAACAAATGCTGTCTGGTGTTCTTACAGTCTCTCTCTCTTTGCTGTGGTTGGACACACTGTTTGCTTTTCACATGCATCTCTAGTCACCTCCAACTCCATGGTTTACTTTGTCTTCTACACGTCTCTGCCGGTCTCCACGTCTTTACTGTTACATATTGAACGACATGCTGATCAATTAGCACCCGATTAGACAAAATGACGTATCACATCTTTCACGGTGTGATTCTTTTATTGGCATTTAGTATAATGTTTAGAGGTACAATTGAATGAGGAAATGAGTAAAACAGAACTATAAGTGGGTATTTATGATCATTTAAATTGTTCTGTCAGATAAACATAGTTTCTTTAGAACAATACTGTAACTACTTTCTTTCTTCTTCTCGCAGAATGCAGGATAACCACTGCTTCACTCGGCTTTGTCTTGAATAAGGTGCTGGAAGTACCAAGAAGCTTAAACTGGTAGAATAAATATTGCAGTCAACTGTAACTCTTGACACATACAGTATGCAAATTCATCGAGGTATTCCCCTGATGAGCAGCTCTGTTCATCTCAAAGTGTGTGAGACAGGTCCACTTCATGGATTTAGTATCACATGGTGCTCACAAGAGACACGTTGATAAAACTAGATAAACCTCGGAGAGCACAGACCTCCACCAAGTGAAAAGCAATGCATGGATCAGTCCCAACACACCCAACGCAACACATAATAATGCTGCAAATACATGTGATACCTTTATCCCTAGTAGTCAAGCTCCAAAAAAACACAGCCTACATTTCCCATAATGCAACCAACTGCCTCTTTTGTAACATTTAGTGGAGTGTAAATCTGAATGATGCATAAAAATGCTGTCTGTCTCTCCCCTGACTCATGGGGATTACTTCTGTTCCAATGCTGGTACAGTCGTATATTTATAGCTGATTAAATCATGTGGACTAACACTAACCAACAGCCTGTGTGTGTGGGTGGGTGTGTCTGTGTGTGTTTGTGTGAAACTTAAGGCCCAGTAGAATGGTACCGCTGGTTGAGTCATGCTGTAACACACACACACATACAAACAAACATGCTTCCGTCATGCTGGTTCCAGACGTCTGTGTCATAATTGCATTTCAGGTTATTTGTTCGTCTGCACACGGACACACGGCTCCAAGTTCACAGGGGGGTTGTCAGTACTGTCCAATCCTCTTACAGCACACACGCATACGAGAAGGATACACTTCAGTTACATATAGACCAGCGAAGTCCTACAGAGTGTGTGTGTTTGTGTGTGTGAATACATGGAGTTCCTTGTCACCTGAGGATGAGCATGTGTGTGATAGTTGTATCCATACACATATGACATTCACAGGTGGTATATTTCCTGGTGCCCATGTTTGCCGGCCTTTCAGACATGATGAACAACAGGCTTTCCATGATTGCCAGATGCATCCAGTGGTTTTGTGTGTGGATCAGAGATCTGTGCATGGGGCGCTGAGGATACAGGAGGGAGCTCCAGCTTTGAGCCACATACACACACACACACGCACACCCACACTGTTTGTAATAATATTACTCCAGCGAGGCTACATGACAAAGTCCTAGAGAGGGGTGTCAACAGGTCCATGTGTAACTGGATCTTTGACCTAGTGACCAAAAGATCACAAGTACTTAAGTCCGTGTCTAGTATCGGTCTCTCCTGTGTTCATTGTATACTAACGATTGTATGTGTCCCTCTGACTCAGTTAAAACACCGCTGTGACACGTCTGATCTCTTGTCTAGAACTTAAATATCTCCAGATCAAAGAGGTAGCTTGTGAACTTCCGCAAATAACACAGATGAGCTTCAACCCTTAGTTACCAATGAGGTTGTAGAAAACTTCAAACACAGAGGGACCTCCATTTCTTCTTCTCTTAAATGGACTATCGATGTTAGCCTTATTGTGCAGAAAGCCCACCAACGGTTGTTCTTTCTGTGACAACTCAGGAAGTTTAAGGTTTCAAAGGCAGGGATGTGGATTTGTACAGAGCTGTGATAGAGTTCTCACATGTTCTATCGCTGTGTTCCATGGAAACAGAGCGGGTCGTCAGAGGATCGGCGGTTCAATCCCCAGCTTTGCTAGTACATGCTGATGTGTGCATGTGTAGGCAAGACACTTAACCCCGAATTGCTCCTGGAGGCTGTGCCTGCGGTGTATGAATGGTTAGTTCAATCAGGAGAGACTTGTTATATAATTTAACAATGATTTATTATACAAGCGTCAAATATGAAAAGTGCAAAGTCTTTGGCGATTGGACTCCATCCTGAAGTACTATCACCGAAGGTAGGGATACTGAGGTCCAACAGGCCTAATCCCTCTGGAGTCCAGACACTGGTGGTGGTGATGAAAGGAATTGCTGCACTGATGATGAATCAGGAGCCTGACTGTGATGCTGACTGGAGGTGACTGGGGTGGAGGCGGGTCGCATCTGCTTAACGCTGAAATGACAACTGACAGCAGCAGAGAGGAGAACACTTTAAAGTTTGACAGCAACGATCTGATTGGCTTAAGGAAACTGTGTGCCGAATCTGGTTGGTTGCTTAACAGTGCACGCCCCCAATCAGCTGACAGAGTAATTACAAGGAGAGGAGAGACAGAGATCACAAGTGAATGTCTTCCTGACTGAACTTGCGCTTGAGCTACATTTAGTCCTGATGTGCAGGTGACACCTTGCATGGTAGTCCCTGCCATCAGTGTATGAATGGGTGTGAATGGGTGAATGATGACATGTAGTGTTAGAGTACTTTGAGTGGTAGAAAGGCTCTAGTACAAGTCCATTTACCATTCCAGTTTGTGTAGGGATTAAAGACATTGGGGTGGTAATAGTCATAGTAATTACATGTCCACCAAAGAACACTTCTCTAATTGTAGAAATGAAGATATTGATTATTGTTGCAAATGCAAACTATCTGCTGCTGCGAAGCCAAATCAGTTGAAACTATGTCTGAACTCTTTCTTTACCCACAGAAACTGTTGCAGAGCTGGAGACGGACCTGCACAGCGCAATGGAGGGGAGAGAGGAGAAGGAGAGGGGCATCATGGGACAAGAGCAAGAAGATCAGGGGAAGTGCCAAGAACAACCGGCCAGCATGGATACCCAGAATTCTATGAAAGCAAAAGAGGAGAAGGGAATGAAGGAGGAAGAAATGAAGAAAGAGGTGGAGATGGAGCTGGAGGCCGAGGTGAAGGTGGAGCTGTGCCAGTCTGTGCCAGGCCTGCAGATGAGCTTCATCCGAGGAACTGACCTGTTTGGCTACGTGGGCATCGAGGCGGTGCTGGACCAGATGAGGCGCAAGACCCTGAAGGCTGGCCTCGAGTTTAACATCATGGTGGTTGGTGAGTCTGACACACTGCGCCTGTATGAGATCACATCCCATCATCATTGTGCTGATGAAAGGTGCACATACAGTGTCAGTAGAGTGTGTAGTCTGTGGACCTCCTCCGTCTGATCAGGGGGCTGTTTGAGTGGCTGTGACGTTGTTGAATATATACGGTCTAATGTAAATGACAGAAGGGATATGAAGCAGAAGAGAGAATGTTTGTTGATTCATTTTCTTCTTTGCTTCCTTGATCAAAAAGTGGTTCAGAGGTGACATCACAGGTGATGTCCATGACCTCAGAGAGTAAACTGGACATTTCACCCTGATAGACGAGAGAGAGAGAGAGAGAGAGAGAGAGAGAGAGTACCCTTCATATTATCCACATTTCCCCACCTTATATTCACATCCCTGTGTCTCACAACTGTTACCCTCAGCTTCTATCTCTTTTTGTTTCGTCATTTGTCTTTCGTTGATTCAGAGGACAGATAGATTGGAAAGGGGAAAGAGGGGGGCCGACATGCAGCAGACGGCTATTTCCTTGACCTCCAACATGTAACCGACCGGTTGTGTCATGTGACTTCAGTTTCCTGCAGTGATTGCACAAACACCAAAAACAAAAACACGGTCTTCATTGGGAACAGCATTGAGAACAATTGTGAGCAGAGGATTGTGTTTATAAACTGGTGGTAGATGAAAAGCTGAAATCATCCAGTGAAGTTTTGATCTAGCAGAGCAGAGCTGGCAGAGCTGCATCTGATCTAACTGTCAGGTCCTCTTGTCCTCTCTGTCCACTGGTTTCTGGATTGTCTAATTTTGCTGTGTTTGAGACGTTTCTGGAAGAGGAAGTATGAATCTGTGAGGAGGAAGTGGTTTTGAGAGTTGGAGCTGTCTGCTCTTTCCTGCCACACACACACACACACACACACACAGTTGATATACACTTCCCCTGCTGTTTGATTGAAAACAGGAAGTTTCCCCCTATTAATAACAATAATTTGTTTATGTTTTTACATCTTAGAGAGGAGGTCTCTTTAAGGGATTCTCTAAAAGGAATAAATACTTCCCCCATAAATGGCCATTGTTATCAATGACCCACCTCTTGTTACCTTGAATTCTTGAAGAGAACTTTGTTTTCCTCTCATGCCTCCATGGGGAAGAAAGGATCAAAAGATGGAGAAAAGTCTTGATGAATTGAAGTAAATGGGGGCTGCGTTTAACAACTCTATGAAAACATCGGTTTACAAGCTCTCACACAACTCCTGTAATATAATCCAAGTCTCATTTATCCCGTCAGATGTTCACTATTTCACAATCACACGCATCTTTCTAAAACCTTACCGTGCTTGTGCAGGCAACCAGTTGATGTCTGCCATCTTGGCTCTGACATCATCACTTGAATCAAATAGTGTTTTTTAGAAAAACAAAATGCCTTTTAGGTTAAAATATATGGACACACTAACAGACAGAATTCCCAGTGTGCCTGCATGTGACTTGGAATAAACATTTTTGTCATTCACGTTATTATAAAAGTAATAGCACATGTCCACCGCTGACACTGCTTCGAACATTTTGCTGGCTCTGGCTAACGTTACACTCTCCACTAGCACCTACCATCAGCACGTGCATGCGTGCTCAGTACTCATCGGGCAGAATGTACGGACATCATGTGACACATGTTGGTGTTGCTGTTCCTGTGTTGCATAAATGAGCTAATAAATGATATGATGATGTGATATCAGATCGTTGTGTAGACTCGTGCACTCGCTGATATCCGATCCCACATTTTAGGCTGTATCAGAGGAATTTCCCACTGGTATCGGTATTGAAACAACTCTAAATACAACACATTCTTACACACACTTGGTTTTGAATGGTTTAACTTAAAGCATTGGTTTTATGTGTCTGCAGGTCAGAGTGGTTTGGGTAAATCCACGCTGGTCAACACTCTGTTCAAGTCCAAAGTCAGCCGGAAGTCCTGCACGCCTAACTACGAAGAGAAGCTCTCCAAAACAGTCAAGCTGCATTCTGTCAGCCACGGTGAGTCCACACACACCCTGTGTGTGTGTGTGTGTGTGTGTGTGTGTGTGTGTGTGTGTGTATACTCTCAGTCTCCCTCTTCCCTCTACAACTAATCACATCTGTTGAGGCCAGTGTGAAGAGGTTAAGACTAATAGGAGCAGCTCTCACGTCCTACTTTCATATCACTTTTCCTTTCACTTCTTGTGTCATGACCAGGACCCCAAGCTTGGGCTGTGACGGCTGGTTGTATGAGCTACTTCTCCATAGTCAATGTATTACAACAGTAGAAACAAACAGGAGTACCAGCACGGGAGCACAGCAATGTACTGCTGTGGACGTATTTTAGACACCTAAAAATCACTTTAAATGTAGTTATTTTGAATATCTTTACTGCTTTACCTTGCTGTCAGACAGGGAGCTGAAGCCATTGTATCCATCTATCCAAGCTCGCACAATATCACAAACCAACTAACCCATCGAGCAAGCGTTAGACCAGCAACTTCCAGGTTCCACGAGAACTCAATTATTGCTCCCGTGCTGGTACTTGAGTCTTTTTCTCTTAACTCCATCTACTGTAGATACAGTGTACTGTAGTACAGTGTACTGTAATATAGTGGTTATGGAGGAGTACCTCATACAACCACATGTCAAAACACCCAAACTATATCTTTAATATCAGAATCCCTCTTCTGATCTGAAAAATTGAACAGAATTTCCCACTAGGTTTCAGTTAAATACTGTAAGATGATATGCTGAAGTTTTTTAACTGGAAGAGATTTTGCCATACGGTTTATGCTGAGTAATCCTTATCTCCAGTTCTATTCATTAGGTCATTATGGGCAATGTAGTAAATCACTGAGTAGGACTGATTCATGTCCATTTTCACATCAATGTGATGAAGTACTTTGACGACTCAAATTCAAAGACTGTATGGGAGACTTTGGTGGAGTCCTCTATGCTAACGCACATTAACAGTTGATGTCCTTGGTGACGTCACATCAATGACAGCAAGAGAAACAGACTGCACTTGCATACTCTTATCAAATTATAACGTAGATTAGCAAGTGTTAGCATGCTATCATGCTGAACTAAGATGATGGCAGTCAACATTACCTACTAACATCAGCATTTTTAGCATTGTCATTGTGAGCATGTTAGAATGCAGATGTTAGCATTTAGCACAGCCTCAAAGAGCTGCTAGCATGGCTCTTGTTTTGTTGCGCAAAGAATTGTGTTTTCAGATTTTTATTCATTCAATTTAAAAACTCCTTTAGCTTTAAGATAAGTCACTGTTGATGGTTACCTAATTTGCCAGGTGGCAAACTCCAGTTCTGAATGGTGAAGCCAATGCTGAAGTGTCGTAAAGCTGCATTCTCTCTAATGACCAGCAGGGGGCGACTCCTCTGGTTGTATAGAAGTCTATGAGAAAATTACTCTACTTCTCTCTTGATTTATTACCTCAGTAAACATTGTAAACATGAGTTTATGGTCTCAATCTCTAGTTTCAAGTCTTCTTCAATACATCATGATGTTCATTTACTAAACTATGGTCCATTTAGAGTCAAACAGACCATAAAGCAGGGGATGCTTTAGGGCGGGGCTACCTTGGGATTGACAGGTTGCTTTAACCCTTTCACAGTGTGTTTTGAATTCATGAAAGTTAATTGAAACATTTTGGTCGCCAAAAAATGTCTTACTCGGTGTTCAGTTGTGCTTAGCTTCACCTTCTCTTGTCACTTCAGGTTTGGTTTGGTCAATGTTTGGGTCAGGTTTAGTTTGATTCATGTCCTCCCTGCCACCAGGAGGGTATGAAGCAGCTCCAGGAGACAGAGATTCAGTCAGCGGTTAGCTGTAGCAACTGAAATTCAGCCAGCGGAAACCCCAGCGTCCAACCTGTGTAACGGCAGCAACAGAAAGTTTGCTAATGCAAATAAAATCAGGACAGTCCCCGGGGATCAGACAGGGTTTGTGCTGGCTGAATTCAAGCTAACTACTCACTGAAGGTCAGTTTCCCGGAGCCGCTGCCTGCTCTACTCCAGGCAACGTAGTCTTTTGGTGGTGGGGAGGACGGAGTTGTTTTCTCAGCCCAGTCACTTTGGATTTCATCCAGTAAACTCAAAATGCACACGGACGATGGATGTATCATTGACAAGCCCTCGGGGCAGCTCTCTGTGCCCTCTCATGTTGGACTGAGGACAGACTGGACGCTACAGTGACTCACTATCGCCTCTCCAGGTACAAGTGGAGCAACACAGGATGGGGCAGTGCTAGCTGGTTAGCGTGCTCATATCAGTAGATATCTCTGCAACACAATACATAGACGTCACTGATGTAACTCTCCACAATCTGTTGATAATCTTAGCTCATTTGTTGAATGATTTAAACTAACATTTTGGCCAGATCTTACACATTGCACCCTTATGTCAACCCAGCAACGGTTACAACCAACATATTGATGATTGTGCTCTTCTTACAGCCTTACCGAGCTCAAGGACAAGTCATAATGTAATCAAAATAATATAAAATCATCCTCAATGAAGTTCAAGCCAGTGTGTGTGTGTGTGTGTGTGTGTGTTAGATTGTGATATTTCCTAATTACAAGTGGAAATAGAGACTTGATGGTGAGGCTGTAAAAGTCTTAAAATGACATAACTATCCAGAGGTAATTACATAGTGACCTGGACATTAGTTTTTTAGATGTGTTGTTCAGTGTATAACCAGATCAGAACGTGGCTCAAAGACAACATTTCAAAGAGCTCTCAGTAGGAAGCTCAGTTGCTCTGGACCACAGTGCAGGGAGTCTGTACAAAGTACATACGGAAGTGGGGCTTACCTCCACTCCACAGTCAGAATGAAACTGGATCTTAGGTCTGTGTTTCTGAGAGCTGACATTTGGTTTCTTATTACAGGTCAAACATTATGCGGTTATTCTGGTATCATTTTTTACAGTGTATCGTTATTCTCATTAATTTGTTAGTGAAGGCAATTATCCGTTTTGGAGTTATGACATCTATCAACACTGCTGCAGGGACAAACTGAGAGCCGTTTACAGCCTTCGTCTCCACCAGCTCAGGTTCTGTAAAAATCCTTACCCAAAACTTCCCCAATCTTCAAAGCTGGAGTTAAACATTTGCAGTTACTCCTGAACATTTCCCAAAAGTCAGTCTCAGGCCATGCTGACCTCACTGTCGATAGATCCAGTAGAATTACGGAAGTGAAAAGCTGTTGTGAACCTTCAGCAACCGTAAAGCCCATTAAGAAACCCGGTGAAAGGCAGACAGTGATAAATATAATCTGAGAGTTGCAAGTTTACTGAAAACAAAATACAAATACCTGTTCTCAATACACATCAAGAATTAACACAACAGATAAATAACAGAAATAAGATATTTGATTATTGTTCATAACAAAAAAAAGAAGATTCCACTCAAATATTGTTTAGAACCTTGTGATAATATATGAATATTAACACAATAATGTGTACGTATGATCATTTATTGTTATTATGCAACACAGGGATGCACAACAAAATTCAGTTGTAGCCCATTTGTAACACAACAAACACAACACAAAAACCAGTACTTCATTCCTGTGGTGCATTTGTTGAACTGGCATCATAAGGAATGTGAACAGCAACAACAAAAGCATTTCTCTGGGTAGATAAGTTGGCTGACATGTTCGCATTAAATATCAACATGAGGAAAACATTGTTGTCCCGCAACTTTGACTGTGTGAGCACCAAGCATCATGGTGTAAACACAGAGTCCACCTCCTCTCGTCCCACCGGAGTCCTGAGCTCTGTCCTGATGTCCACCTGAGTGCAGCTTGATCCGGGATGAACGATGGATCCAGGTCTCTGTGAAGATGTGGGCTCAACAGTCACTGATCTCCCGCTGCTTTCATCCATCTTATTTTCCTGCTACCGAACATCAGACAGCCAGCAGTAGGCTGGGTAGTGGAGCAGCCTCAGGTCCTAGCTGGGTTAGCTTAGCTTCCATCTCAGCTCTCCTCCCTCTCCTCTCTGGGGCACTTTGATGGCGTTTGGTCCAGCTGGTCTGGCTGGTTAGTCGGTCGTGGGCGTTGATCCTCTCAAAGTGCTAATGCTCATTTTCACACAGTTACACATTGATGGTACAGCCTTTGGGAGCAAATTCGGGCGACACTTCATGGGGCGGACTGGAGGAGCCGGGGTTCGAATCTGGTCATGTGGTTATTAAACATGCTCTGAAGCAGCTGTTCCCAACCTTTCTCCTTGAGGGACCCATCTTCTGTCATTGAGTTAACTGAAGACCCCTGACTAAGTGACTATTTAATGTATAATAATAACAGTACAGAACAAGTGGTAAACTGTACCATTAACCCAAATACTGAATGCAATAACTGCAGGAACTTTGTGTAAAATAAGCAATTTGGATGAATTTTGAGCAGATTATTTCCTGTTAATATCACATCAGAGATGAGTTTCCCTTTTGTTTTTAGGAACTTTTGATACAATTCTCTGTTTGTAGTTAAATTGTTAACAATAATACATACTTATAGACAAGAGAGAAGAGTTTTCTTCTCCTGACGCTTGGCCATTGTTCTATTAGCTCTTTGGGTGTTTTAACTGTACTTCTCTAATGCAGGAGGAGGCTGGTCAGCAGAGAGGGAAGGCTCTATGAGTATAGCTGCTGTCCAGGTCTTTGCCATTATCCTGCTTATAACTTAAATAATATTCCAAAGTTTTCTTCACAGAAATTGTTAAAATGCTGAGATGTAGGCCAATTGTACTTCTTTTCTATTTTTTTTAAAGTTTCCTTACGCCCTTTAAAATCAAGAAAGCCTCGCGACCCCAAGATTTGAGGCCCTCAGGTTCGGAACCAGTGCACTAGAAGGCGTTTTTTGATGTTTTCTCCACCGAAAAGGCATCATAGAAGGACAGCCTACAGGGCACATTATCTTGTTTCCTCCACTGGAAGTGCACCCTAGAGGGCACTTTATGTAGTTTTCTCTCCTGCATGGGCACCCCGGGCACTGCAAAGGCTCTGTGAATATAGCTTGTGTTTCAGGTCGTCACCATGCCCTCATACTGTTTATGTCTTAAATAATAATCCAAATTAGAAAGAACTATTTCATGTATTTGTCTCCACATGAATGAATCACATGTTGAGATAAAGGCCAACAGTATATAAGTTGTCTTACACTCTTAAAATCAAGAAGGCCTCATGACCCCCTGTCAATCATTGGCCCCCAGGTTGGGAACCTGTGCTTTAGAGAATTCTGGCTGTACCACAAATGTTGTCCAAATCAAGATACCCAGCACTTGAGCACTCCCATGTACAGGCACAAAGTATTGTCAGTTCTTCCTCTCTGGTTCAATTTGTGTGAACCAGTGTTGTACTGGTCAGTTCGCTGGCTTAGCACACAAATTGTTACTTGTTTGCCGGTTAGTGAAAACCTGAATGATCAGGTTCCAGATATGTGTTCTCATGCTTCAACTCAGAGGGAATTCCTGTGTGCGTCTAAAGAGCCATCACAAACACACTACGGGATCCTAGATTGGATTGAAAGCCATGACACTGTGGTTCCACAGTATATGCCTTACCCAACTGATCCTGCACGATAATGGTGATAAATCCCCTGCTACTGCTCAACAATATGATATGATCAGTGTAAGACACAACAGCACATGATTAAATGAAATCGACAGTTTGCAGCAGCTTCCTGTAATATCTGTGTGTACCTTAGTGTCTTTGCTGTTTTCTTCATTGGAAACCTGTCTGACATTTTAATGAAAGTTACTTTAATCTTCTAAATTATAATTATAATCCTCCTCTGTCCTTCTCTGTCAGTGATTGAGGAGAAGGGGGTGAAGATGAAGCTGACCGTGATCGACACTCCAGGATTTGGAGACCAGATCAACAACGACAACTGGTGAGCTGTAGAAGGGTGGAGACGAGAATGGAGAATAGTGCTTTCCAGATCTCGCTGCTATAGTATTTATGAATAATTGAGTTCAGTTTTAGGAAATGACGGTCTTTGTTAGAATGGAAGTACATATTGGTATGTCTTCAGTGGGAACTAATAGGTTTGGGGTGACATGATAAATGATTAAGATAAAGGTTGTTCATTTTAGTCATTAAGAAAAAGAGAAATATAGAATGATGCCAACCCAGAATATTGCAGTCACTCAGCGACTCTTTCCAGCTGGGAGCCCATAGTGAAGCACGTCAACGAGCAGTATGAGAAATACCTCAGAGAGGAGCTTCATATCAACCGTAAGAGGAGAATATCAGACAGCAGGGTCCACTGCTGCATCTACTTCCTCCCTGCCACTGGACACAGGTCAGTACGCCGAATCCACCTTAAAGGGTAACTTCTGTATTTTTCAAACGCTGCAGACGACAGACGCTACACAGGCTGTAATGTCATCTCTCAGGGAAACTCCTCGCCGTCAATGTACATCCAGTAAAAGAGCTTGCTGTTGCCACTGACGGCTCACATTGTTGTTAGAAGTGTCACAACACTGGAAATAAAAGATTTTACTTGAACAGAACAGTTCAACATGAAACAAACAAACAAGGTTACAAAAACACACGATGGCCTATCTCTGCCCAGACATTAGCCTCCTACTGGAGTTCGCTTTGTTGCGATCGGCGTGTGTTTCTTCCGTCTTGTTCGGCAGAGTTTCTCCAGCCAATGACCCGGGACCATAACACGCAGCGGGGAAAGCAGCTAATGTCAACTTGAAGAATCCGGGAATTCCGTAATCTTCCTTCTGCAGGTTAAAGTGGAGGAGCACGGGGCAAGTTATCCGTTTCTCCTTTTGGATCCAACACAAAAACAGTCTATTGCTCGTCCAGCCAGGTGGGGACTGTTACCGCGGTTATTTTTCGCGTACCAATGTTGTTACCTCCTTTCAGCAACGTATGTCACAATGGAACTCCGTGCCGGTCTATATACCCCTGGTGACGTCATGGCCGTGTTACAGGGACTCCCTGAGGCTCCTGTGGGTTACGTCCAATGAGGCACCAGTGTTGTGGTTTTAACTAAATCTCACACTCGGGGGATTTTTAACGCCTGATGGTGCGGTTCCACAGGTTAGGCTTTCAATTTTACATTTAGGCCTCTCTTTTTGTTTCACCCCACATGGTGAAGTCCCAACACTAACAAACAGGAAGCAAAAAGTAACGAACATCTTTTATTTCCACAATGTTGTCAGACACTTCAAACAACACTCTGAGCTGTCAGTGGCAACAAAAAGCTCTTTTACTGGACGTACATTGACGGTGAGTAGTTTCCCTGAGAGATGACAGCCTGTGTAGCGTCTGTCGTCTGCAGCATTCTCCCTCAAGACTGGACCTGTTTCATAAAGTGATGTCCTCATTAGTCACTTAGACACAAAAGCATGAGGAAATAGGGTTGAAAAATACCAAAGTTACCTCACATTCATGCTTGTGGGACTGACAATAACAATGCTAACATGGTGAGGTTTACCAGTCACCATCTTAACATAAGCATTAAACGCAAAGTACAGTTCAGGCAGATGAGAATGTCATTAGTTTTGCAGGTATTTGGTCATAAACCAAAATATTGGGAAAATGAAAATGTTGTCTCGATCCAATAGTTGTCGAGACATTTCACACAAAACCTCACTGTGGCACTAGAGGACAAATCATGGGGTCTTTGTTCGGTAACCGTGGAGGCCCAAATTTCATGTTGAGATATTTTAGTGTGGATCATGTGGTGGACCGTCTGACAGACTGACATTGCAATACATTCATGGCTAAATGCTAGCATGGCTGGAAATGGCTTTTGGCTATGACAATGTCCACTTAATGCCCCTCTTTAAACTTTTGTGCCATAGACCTCCATTACAGTCCAAACTGACCAGAGATCTGTGTTTGTTTCCAGGCTACGCCCCATCGATGTTGAGTTCATGAAGAGGTTGGGAAAGATAGTAAGCATCGTACCTGTCATCGCCAAAGCCGACACACTCACCATTGAGGAAAGACAGGAGTTCAAAGAGAGGGTGAGGGAACACACGTACACACTTACTAAAGCTGCTTTTCTATAGATCACTTGCGTGTCCTTCAAATTATGTTCTGATCATGCAACAAAATCCAGTTTCTTGCTTGAGCACAACTACTGCCTGAAATCATGCATGTGCTCAGCGAACATATTTCCGGCCTTACCATGTAACCTTCAGTGAAAACCAATCAACCAGAACCGTTTGACATGTGTTGAACCTTTGACAGATAAGGCAAGACTTGGCAGCCAATGGGATTCGTGTTTACCCCCAGAAAGAGTACGACGAGGATCCCGAGGAACGCATCCTCAACGACCGAATCAGGGTAATGTCTTCCAATACTCTTCATTCCACTAGATATAGATTGCGTAAAAGTTACTACAAGGAACCTTTAACTGGTTATCAGTCTCGAATTCAAACTGATGCCTCTATATGACCAACATAAGTTAACGAGATCATCAGCAAGAAGATGGTCTATTTCTACATCATTTTTCTTAATGCTCGTCATCAGTGCTACCGGGTCCAAAATCAGACGTAATCATGGGTAATCAAGGTTCACCAGAAACTCCTTCAGCTCAGAGGCTAGCGAGGCCTCCAGGAGCAACCAGACCCCAGATCGACCTACAGTCAGGAAGAGGAGAGCTCAGCACCCGACAGCAGCGCCTCCTCCTCCTCCAGGAGCAGAGCTTCTCCTCGCTGCTCTGCCGGGAGCCAACACCACTCTGCTGGAGGCCCAGGCCATATTGCTGATATTGAAAAATTATAGGCCAATATCAAACCTCCCATTTTTAAGTAAAATAATTGAAAAAGCGGTTTTCCAACAGCTGAACAACATCTTGGCCGTAAATAACTGCTTTGATCTCTTCCAGTCAGGCTTTCGACAGCACCACAGTACTGAAACTGCTCTTGTTAAGGTTTTCAATGACATCCACGTAAACACAGACAATAGCAGAAGTTCAGTCTTAGTATTACTGGATCTCAGTGCTGTATTCGACACGGTCGACCATGCCATACTACTAGAAAGACTAAAAATCTGGGTGGGACTTTCTGGCACAGCACATAACTGGTTTGAATCCTACTTGAAGGACCGAGAATACTTTGTGTCTGTAGCTAATTACACATCAGAGCTGACTAAAATGACATGTGGTGTTCCCCAAGGTTCAATACTGGGGCCTCTTCTGTTCAACATCTACATGCTTCCACTAGTTCAGATTATGGAAAACAACAAAGTGTGTTATCATAATTATGCAGACGACACACAAATCTACATAATTATGTCACTAGGGGACTATAATCCCATACAAGGGCTGGGTAACTGCATTGAACAAATCAACAACTGGATGTGCCAGAATGTTCTTCAATTAAACAAAGATAAAACAGAAGTGATTGTTTTTGGTACCAAGGACGAACGATTGAAAGTCACTGCTCAACTTCAATCACTGATGTTAAAACCCACAAACAAGCCAGAAATCTATGTGTAGTTATGGATTCAGACCTCAACCTGAACAGCCATATCAAGACAATTACAAAATCAGCCTACTATCACCTGAAGAATATATCAAGGATTAGAGGACTTATGTCTCAACAGGATTTGGAAAAACTTGTCCATGCATTTATCTTCAGCAGACTGGACTACTGTAACGGTGTGTTTACAGGTCTCTGTAAAAAGTCTGTCAGAAAGCTGCAGCTGATTCAGAATGCTGCAACCCGAGTCCTCACTAAGACCAGGAGGGTGGATCACATCACTCCAGTTCTGAGGTCTTTGCACTGGCTTCCTGTCAAACAAAGAATTGACTTTAAAGTCCTGCTGTTGGTTTATAAAGCACTGAATGGTTTAGGGCCAAAATACATCTCTGATCTGCTGCTACCTTATGAACCATCCCGACCCCTTAGGTCGTCTGGGACCGGTCTACTTCCTGTTCCCAGAGTCAGAACTAAACATGGAGAAGCAGCGTTCAGTGTTTCTGCTCCACACATCTGGAACAAAGTCCCAGGAAGCTGCAGGTCTGCTGAGACCCTCAGCTCCTTTATATCAAGATTGAAGACTTTTCTGTTTGCTGCTGCCTTTAATTGAACCAGATTCAATGAATATATTAATCAATTTCCTGTGTCTCTGCATTTTACTACTGTATTTTATTTCTTACACTGTTTTTTTTTATGTTTTAAATCTCCTTTTATTTTGCCTTATGTTTTGATGCTTTTAATGGTTTTATGTGAAGCACTTTGAATTACCTTGTTGTTGAAATGTGCTATACAAATAAACTTGCCTTGCCTTGCCTTGCTGGGCCCACTGGAGGGAAGGGGGGCACATGAGAACCAAAACAAGGACTGCACCAGGTAGCCTGTGCTGCACTAAAATGAAAGGTTTTCTAAAGGGAGCTTGTGCTCGGAAGGCAGAGGCCACTTTGCTCATTACAATTCACTAGCTAATCTTGTTGCCCTGTCTTTTAGAGGGACCCTGTGTCAAAATTTGTATTGTGCTGATACTGTAGATCTCATGTGTTGAATCATCCTTCTGATGAGCCTGACTGAGACATGCTCATGTTGTGTGTGTGCAGGAAAGCATTCCCTTTGCTGTGGTGGGAACGGACAAGGAGCACCAGGTGAATGGAAACAAGGTGTTGGGCCGCAAGACAAAGTGGGGAATCATTGAAGGTAAAGCATCGGTTTGCACCTGATATTACGGCTAAATTTAACCACGACTATGATATGTGATATTTCCTCCAATCGTATAGAAACCCTCTGTTCATGTGTGCTTACTGTTACTACATCTACAGTAGGCCATCTAAAGTAAAAAATGCTGTTTTCGTGTGAAAGCCGGTTGGCTACTGTGGCGACCGACAGCCTGTCACACCTCCCATCTGCTCTCTGTGGTCACTGTCTCTATGTTTTAATGCAGCCGAATTCACCATATAGTTCTCATTTACACATCTTTAGGTATGAGCTGCTGCTCTGTGGCGATCAAATCCTTATGTTTTCTATGTCAGATGCTCTGCTGTGTATTCGACAGTATTGAATGGTCACAGAGAAGGTCTGTGTGTCTGTGTGTCTTTACTGGCACACAGACCCAGAATCCTGCTTATGTCATTGTTTCGCACTAGCTATGTTTTCGGGGAGAGGATGTTATTTTGGTCTGGACAGAGGGCTGTACTGAAGAGGAAAAGGACCACATGTGATCAAATGTATTTGAGTTCTGAGTTTAAGGTGCCGGATGCACCCAGCTGTGTTTTCACTGTTGGGCCATACAGCCGGGGCCTGTTAAGATCTGTGAGTGAGGAGTCAGCAAGCAGTCAGTTGCAGTATAGAACAGGTAATAAAAGGTGTTCTTCGGCTGCAGCCGACAGGATCTCACAGAAATACATTAAACAAACACAACCTGTTATCTGCGGGCCAGCTGTGGCTGCCGGCTCCTCCGGTCCGCCTGTCGAAGTGTCCTTGAGCAAGACACTGAACCCCAAATGCTCCTGAGGGCTGTGCCATCGGTGTGTGTGTTAAATGAGATCCTGATAAGCAGGTGGCACCTTGTATGGCAGCCTCTGCCATCAATGTTTGAATGTGCGTGTGAATGTGTGAATGTATGAAGCGCTTTGAGTTGTAGGAATAATAGGAAGGAGTGGTATAAGTGCAAGTCTGTTTACCATTAACCATTATGTGGTGTTGGTGGTGGTGATGGAGAAGCATCATGGTGGGGCTTAAAATAAGCACATACACTTAAGTCTCGGCGAGGGGCATTGTTTTTGTGCAGCACCATGTAATGTCTTGTTTAGAAGTAGTTTCACATATTTCTGTGAGATAAATGCGAGATTAGACGTGGACAGACACAGAGGTGCACACTCACTCACTAATGGACGCACACTCTCAAATGGTCGAGATAATATTTAAGTTAATAAAGAAAGTGTTACAGTATAACGCCACAGACGATGCACTTCACATCATTCCCATTGGGTACCATCACATTTTAATCACTGCCAGATTTGGTCATGTGATACTTATTGAAACAGATGCGCACGTCTCCTGATGAGCACAACACAAGGGCTGCTTTTCAAAGTCAAACGTAAAATAAATCTTCTCTTTCCACAGTTGAAAACGTGGCGCACTGTGAGTTTGCCAACCTGAGAGATCTGCTCATCAGGTGAGTTTGACTGTGCTGCTACACTTTGTTCACCATACAAGAGATGGGATATGAGAGTCATTTGTAATAAACTTAAATGTAATGTTCCGGCTCATTATTGGCAGCCGAACTCACTAAATGTCCTGAAGTGTAAGATAGGGATGTCACAAGAGCCAAGACTGACAACATGACAATACTTGTTTTTCTACTGTAGCGTAGTAGGGAGCAGGGAGCAGGGATCATGGCTCATCATCTTGGGGACAATAGCAAATGTCCCTGATAATGCTACATTACAACAAATCTAGTAGCTTTAGCTGTTAGCGGCCAGCATACAGCCCAGTCCTACATGTACAGGCAATGTTAACACACGGAGGATGCATTCAGTTACATCATGACTCGTTCAAGCTCTGCTCAGTAGAAATGAGTATTAGGCCAAGGGGAATTACATCTTCATCATGATGTGTTCAGATGTACTCTTTGAGGTGAAACTTGAGATGGATCATGAATTTATAATACATTTGAAAAAACCAGCATGTAAACAGTAATAAAAGAGTACATGGAATTTATCGTTTATTTTTTTACCATGGTATCAAATTGGTTATCGAGAATTGTGGAATTGGTTTTGGTACCAAATTTCTGATACCGTGAAATCCCAATGTGTAGATTCATACATCATTATGAAATTAATCCATCATACATCTTAATGACCTTAAACACAATGCCATTGTAGTCAAATTGATGTAACCATAATTTCCATTAATCAATGAAGTGACTGAAGTGTGACTTATTCAAGGACCCTAGTCTTGCACGTCACAGTTCTCCCTCTAGTCTCTCTACAAGTCATCGAGGTGTTATGCGACACACATTCACACATGTCCTCGCTAGAGTGGAAGTGTTGTAAGTCAGCGGTGTTCAAACATTTGTGCAATTTATCCAACTACCTCTGTCAGTTTTCTGAAAAGACCACGGTAAGTGCATGATAACATCCTTGTTCGATAAATTGTGTTGAAACGACAAAGAAAAAGACAAAACAGCTTTAATAATGCAGACATGTTCTAACCAGGAAACGTAGATTATGCTCAAGCACTGTGCCGTCTGTTTCCTTGGATCTTCTGTCTATTGAGTCCTTATTTCTCTTTCCATTTATTTCAATTAAATGATCATTCTGGTGGCGGAAAGGAGACTCCGGACCTTGTTCAAGATTTAGGAGGAGCAAAGTGAGATTCCATACGGGTCGTCGGACAGTGGACCAGTATAGTTAATAGATGGTCGAATAGCTTCGGAAAGCCCAAACGATGAAGTGAGGAATTATTTGGAGAGACATTGATGTAAACTGCAACTCTACTGGTTGGCAGAGGCATAATGTGGTTCTGCTGGCCTCATGTGCCAAACCACAGCGCTCCTCTATAGTGTGCTTTAGCTTCAGTTGCTAAAGGTTTGGTATCAACACCACTATGTCTCCACAGGAGGCATAACAACAGCGCCAGTGTCTAGAGATGTCTTCAGGCACGGTGTTGAGTGTAGGCCACCCAACACACACTCACACACTAACTTTTAGTAATATCCCTATTTGGATTGTAAAAAACAGCAAACTCTCGCTAATAATGTATCATCCAGTTGTCAATATTTCTATTTCTATTTTTTTTTGCAAAGGTCTCACTTGCAGGACCTGAAAGACGTAACACATGACATCCACTATGAGACCTACCGTGTACGACGGCTCAATGAGAGCAACATGAACTTCAGTGAACTGGGACTGTCCACCTGGCCACTGGAGAACGGATGTGCTGACAAATGTGAATCAGACAGCCACCTCTGATCTCTCCACCAGCCTCCTTCTGCCTGCTCCTGCTCATACTCCTCATCCAATCACAATGAGAGATGTGGAAAAGAAAGCTATTTTTACTTTTCCTCAAGTAAAAACTGAGATGGAGAATTTTTTATATTGTTTTTTCGTTAGTTTTTTTCATTATGGGACAAACTAGTGGATTGTTTTTAAATAAGAAATTAAGTTACAATACAAAAGTAATGCATCAAATATGAATGCGTGTGAAACCAATGTGAGCTCATATATATGGTGACGTATACAGGGCGCAGGAGAGCAGACAGCATAATGAGAGGAAACATATACAAGTCTCACAATGGGGCCGAAGCATCTTATGAACAGAAGTATGTGGACAGACCATTCCTTTCACCCAACATCAGTGTTGGACCTCACTAATGCTCTTGTGTCTGAAAGGGAGCAAATCCCTCCAGCAGCCAGGTTCAACATCTGGTGGAAGGACCGAACCAGAAGAGTGGAGGCTGTTAAAGCAGCACGTTAAAGCCCAGTCAATGGTGTGAAGTGTTCGGGTCTCCTCGTACGTTCTGCAGATGTCCACAAATATCTGTCCATGCAGTGTGTCATTCTTGCTTTGGTCATATGTGTTTGGAGACGCTGTTTATGTGCGGAGCGTTTTTGGCAAACAAGTGTTTAAGATACCTGTTTTCAGAAAGCTTGCAGGTCCACATTTAAGTGCCAAAACAACAGAACAATGCTTCATTTGTCCATCCATCTCTTTTACTAAAATGTTTTGGAGTAATTGGCTTCTGTTTATTACTTGACATGGATCAAATAAAACTAGTTATTATGTCATGGGTTGAGTCCATATGGCGCTACAATCTTGCTCAGGATTTAACCCCGTAAAGAAAGTGTGCAGAGCTGCATTAGTTTGAAGAAAAACTATTGCACCTCGTGATTAGTAACACTGCTCAGCATAACATGCATCTGCTGAAGTTGTGGTCATTGATCACGATCAGATCTCAGTTTCACATTTCACCGAGTCAGATCAGGTTAAGGATAGGATCATCGATGCAGAATTATTACCTACAGTTTTTATAATTAGTGGTGTTTTTCATTTATTATTTTTCAGTTTTTAGTGGATTTTATCCTGCGACCATCTCAGCTCTGCGGCCAGAAGAAAGGTATTGGACAGGCATCCGGCTCCCCAGGTGGGCCTCTTTGTTTGCGTTCATTAAAACAATGAGCATTAATAGAACAACATTGACTGATGGAATTATTATTCTTTATTTCAGTTTTGTGAGAGGCTGCTGCACTGCACCTGTATGCAAAATTCACAGTATTATTGTTGATTTGGTTTTCTTGCTAAACCAATTCATGCTTTTAGAATTCAGCCAATAAAACATTTGACGATGTTTTAGTGCAAGACGTTTGTAATGCACTTTCAACATGGAAGTCACTCGTGTCTCAATTCAAACCTTCCTGCCTAAACGCATTACAGCCCTAATACACAACACAATACAAAGTATTACAGGAAACCATCTTGTCAGCTTGTGCTGCTTGCATCAATGAAAATAAAGGATAGTGTGGATGAGAATGCAACAGTTATATTAAAGATAATAATAACCCTCAGTGACGTCGGGGGGCACTGGGCCCTCTGCTCTGAACTGTGGGGGACGCCTGGTTTGAGATAATCGTCGGTGCCATAATCCCTATTTGTACAGTTCATCGCATCTCGCCTCTGTCTGTGAAGGCATGCTCTTCATTGTTCAGAACAGACAGAAACACGATGCCTTCAGATGTGGTCAGATTAAAAGTCGCGGAACTATTTGCCTTCCCACCTCACCTGCACTCCACTGTAGCAGTGCTTTAATGTGCCGGAAGGGACAGTCCTGGTACCCTTTAGAGTAACAAAAGTGTGTCGCTGCCTCTCGGGTCGAGAGTTTGAAGTGTGTTGCATATCTGAGCACAGCTGCTGGCAGTGGTTGGGTTTGCTCAGAGGTAACAGAGATGCCATTGTGTACTGACACACCCTGGAGTAAAGCTATGGTGTGTCCACACCAAACATGAAGCCTGACGTTGATTCAGAAATCGAGGACAAAAATGTTCGTCTGTGGTCACCCAGAGCTCTACGATAGAACCTACAGGGACCAGACAAAACTCTGTGTGTGTGTGTGTGTGTGTGTGTGTGTGTGTGTGTGTGAACCACAGACACAGCTGCTCTGTTCATGACTAGGGGATGTTATTTTGAGTGTTGATGGTGCAGGTACAATGTTAGCATAGCCTAGCACTGGTTGATACAAAGTCGTTTGACCCTTTCAACCAAAAAGGCCAGTTCCTCCGCTTGGTCTTAGCAGAGTGAAGCTTCCTTCTGTCTCCTCAGACTCCTTCACTCAATCACACAGTCTGGGTTTAGTCATTAACATGTATTTCTGGGGAGAAATGCTGTTACGCTGACCTAAACAGGTACATCGGTTCATGTCTGCTGCATTACTGACAATGCAGGGGTGTGATACATTGTGCTTGTGACCACAGTCAACAGTGTATGTGGCAGTGTACTGTGAGGTCTATAGGGGCCGAGCATTCAGCAACTGCTACAAGGCAGCGCAAGCCGGGTTTTCTGCCTGAGTTTAGTTCTTTGTAAATACAAAATAAATAGAGGGTCAAAAAAAAGAAGCTTAGTGAGTTATGAAAGTCTGGACATCAGAACACCACATCAAATATTGTTTTTGCATATCAGATCCAAAGCTCATTCGTAGATTCCTTGGACCAGGATCTGCAGACCTTCATGCTGTTCCTATTACCTTTGCAACTAGCTAGCTATCATGACTAAAGACACAACCTTTGAGAGGATCTGAGAGTTCCTCTGGGGGAGAAAGCAGCATGTAATAAAGCCATGTGTTCTGTCATTTCTTAAATAAACCCACATATACTGCAGTTATTCATTTTATTATGCACGCCTCTACTGTTTCTATTGTGACATGTCCCATGTTAGAAAGGTCCATCAGCTACTCGTGGAGCAGGATCACTACCGATTTGATTCAAACGATGGTTAGTGTTGAGATGGTAACACACGCTCAGCTCTTCCTCCATGGATCAATGAAGATGAGAAGATATCCTTTTAGAAAAGCTGAGTCGACTCCTTTCTGTAGCTTTACTGCACATCATCTTGAGTGAGAGTAGGCTTCATGGTAACATGTTAGCAGTTACAGTGTGACGTAATAGTGGAAATGATTATGAACACTTGTACATAGTCAGGCCTAGTGTTGGTCTCACCTGCTTTTCTCTCTACATCTTCCTTTTTTCAATGTAATGGCTCAACTAACTAACAACTTTCCCTCTGAAGCCACCTATCATCCACAGTGACACCAAACCCTCCACAATCACAATCCACTTTGATTCTGATCACATGCAGCACGTCAGACATTCACCGTTTCTCTGCTCTGTATTCTGAGCCTCTGTGTCAACCTCCCTCATGTATTGTATACACAGCATGTACTAATAGTTCCTGTATGATTAATGTCTTTGTCTTTTTTTATAGTATTGATGATAAACATGTTAACACTGTTGATCTACAAATAAATACTTGTCACCTTCTGAATCCAGTGTGAAGTCATTGTGATAAACCTACTCAACAGGCCACCTTGATGTCTCTCCCACTGCACCCCCTCTGAAGATGTACCAACTCAAAATTAGGCAACTATTATAGGGCCCCAGGTTACCAGGGGCCTACAAAAAACCTGGTTCACAAGGTTTCATTTTTGGTCATTGTAAGTTGTGTAAGTAAATGTAGTTGAAGTCCCATTTTGCTGCAAAAGTAAAAAAACAAAAATACACACAAAGCAAAGCGAAAGTATCTATAGAGGGTGGAGGACAGACAGCAGAAAGAAGCTGATCTGAAGTCTGGTGGCTCTGCAGCTGATACTTCTGTACCTCTCTCCAGACAGCAGCAGGTGAACATGTTGTAGCTGGGTGGGTTTAGTCTTTAATATCCTTTTATCTCTTTGCAGGCTCCTCTTCTCACCAATATCACTGATGCTTGGTGGATAGGTGCCAGTGATGTTCTGGGTAGTTTTAATCACCGGCTGTAGAGCCTCCTGTGCTGTGCTCTACACATCCCATGCCAGTTTGTAATGTTTCCAGTCAGGATGCTTTCTATTGCTCCTCTGTAAAAGTTGGGAATTTAGCCTCCTTAACTTTTCTTACGAAATACAGCTGTTTCTGAGCTTCCTTCACCAGGATGAAGATGCGTGAGGACCATGTCAGGTTGTTGTGATGCTGGTTCCCAGGAACTTAAAGCTGTTCACTTGCTCCTCCTCAGCTTCATTGGTGTAGACAGGGGTGTGTGTCTTTTTGAATCAACAATCAGCTCCTTGGTTTCACTGACTTTGGGCAACTGTTCTCTGAGCACCACTCTGCAAGATTGTTGATTTTTAAGTTTACGAATGGGTTTAATGATTGTGTTGAATGCTGAGCTGAAATCAACCAATGCATATCACAACACTTTAGTGCTTTCAATGTACTGTAACTGCTTTATCATCACATATCATTTGTTACTAATAAACAATTCTATTCTATTAATCTGACTTGTCTCTCCTGATTGAAATGACAGTTAAAGGTGCTAAATGAGAAGAAGAGGGGTGTTGCTGCTGGACACCTGCATGACAGGGAGGAGATGCAGAGGAAGGTTAACGGGGAGAACTCCAGGGCAAAGTGCCAGTACATAAGGTACAACACACCCAGGGGCAACACTAGGGGGCATTGTTGTCATTGTATTGAATGTTGGTATGGGAATTCTAAAATCCCCCACAGGAACAAACCAGGATTGACAGCGAAGGAGACGAGGTCTGCCTGATGTATCTGATCCACTTCCATTTACAGACAATCCCTTCTGGTTGAAGATACAGATCAGAACCAACAAGTTCAGAAGTCATTCATTCATATGGAAATATGAATGAAGAAAATGAAGGCACAAAAAATAAACAGCCTCAGAGCCAAATATGATCAGAATCCTAACACATGAATTCAATGATGTTAACAGAGGAATAGAGCAGAAACAAGTGGTTTAATAACCACAGACTAAGCACGCTCACAGGTTTCTCTCATTTGAAGATGAGAAGATATATTATATCGTGGCTTTGTTGGGTGACATCACGTAACACCTGAATAAACTGAATTCAGTTACACAATTCACTTTATTCATTTTTCAAAAATGAAGTACTTTATTTTAAGATGAACATTGTTCACAAGCTTTCTGTAATGTTTTGTTTTTAGATCCTTATTATAACTGAAATGAGAGAAGAACATTTATTTATTATTAGAGTATTCATTATTCATAATTCATCCAGTAAAATTTGAAAACTGACAATAAATATTGTTAAAATATTATTCAATTGAACTTCCTTTATTTCATTAGACAGTCAGTAGTTGACTACATACAGACGTTAATACAAATGTTGGCTACTTCAATATATATGGGACTAAATCAAAGCGCATGTAAAACATTACTGTGGTGTTGCGGACCTTTGCATGAGGACATTCTCTCTAACTGGACCTCGCTGAACATGAATTGAATAGCCCTGTTGTACACCGTGGTCTTCATGCTCCCAGCTTCCAATCCTCACTGTTCACTCTTCATATGATGATAACTGAGTAAGCTCATGTGGTTGAGAGTATTGTGTCAGCAGATGCATAAGGAATGTAACTCTTCTCTACTCCACCCTGGTCTTCCTGGTGCTGCAGGAAAACTAATTACACATATTGTAACCAGATATATTCTCTTTCGCAGCTTTTCGTCCTGCCAATGTAAATCATGACACAAGCTTGTGTGATCATGTGTTACCAGACATCCAAGCCACTTCTTGACTATCTGGCTCTGACGCTTCTTGTCAACAGACGTTTTGGTGTGATTTGGTGTTTTATTTTCTTCATTTTTTTTTTCAAATGCTCAGAAACATCTGCAGGTACCAAAGCTTAAGATCCACTGGTCCTGAGTGCAAAGATTGTCTTCAGTCAAAGTAAGATCAGGCACAGGTTGGCTCAACACAATGAAACTGAAAAAACACACAAATTAAGCCAATTTCAACATCATCAGTAAACTGTCAGTATTTATTTTACTGCTTAAAGTTGTGCTGTACAAGGGTTGTAACAAAATGGTGACAGATGTAGACCAAAGGCTGTAGACAATAGTATAAGTGAACGGAATGATTTACCTTCGATAACGTGCCTCAGAGAGGTCTGCTGTTAGTAGCTGAGAAATGCACGACTGCATGTCAGAGTTCATGATATGTAAACTTACATTTGAATCCTTTGGACGCTCATTAAAAACAAAAATACTGAACAAGATCAGTGATCAAATTGTGAGTCGTGGTTTGAGAGTGCAGGACGAGTGCTGCTTGTGCACAATGCATCATCTTTTATGCTGACAGGGTAGGGCTGGGACCAATTAGTGACTCAGCAATTTATTATTGTTAACTCTGAAATAGTGATATTACAGAGTTGTCTGAAAAAACACTTGTATAATTACTAGATTGTTGCATGCTGCTCTGACACTAACTGAAATTAAGATAAGGTAAACAGTTGTTTACTTCATTTGTTGATAAGCACTTGTCGTTTCTCTGTCTAATTACTTGTCTTAAGTCTTTTGTAGAATTCCACCCAACTCAGCCAATCACTGATAATGAAGAGTTGGCCAAACTAAAAACAATGAAGCTCAGAGTAGCCCCAGAGGATGTTTCCTCCATGTGAAAGCATTCACTCAGTACCCACTTAGGAGGATAGTTACAGTATTAACAGACTCAGTATATCAGCATGCTTGCCATCCTCAGGTTGTCTTCTATGTAAAATCCCACCCGACCTGTTTTCATTCCCAACTCAACAAATACCGAAGCTTGGTCAGTGCCACTCTGCGTCTGATACCGACACACCAAGGCACCCTCAAGTGTCTGTATGTGACGCATCTACTCTACTGTAAACCCATCCTTCTCATTGTTTGATGGTCAGAGCAACTGATGTAGTTTAGATAGCCAGAAAGTCTGCGTTAGGTTGGATGGGTCAAATAAACAGACTTTCACACAGGAGACCTCTGTTTGCGTCCCATGTGAAACGTAACTTACGTACTCGGCTAACACCAGTTACTTAACAAACGCAGTTTTTTAAAATCCAAATCCGTACTTTTCCTAAACCTAACAAAGTAAACCTAGAAACTAAGTAAACCTACTTTGGAGCTGAAACTAAGTTTCTTGTGAACACAAAAGTTTATTTTGAAAAGACACTAGAGGGGTGGCTAGCGTGTCATAGTGGAGAGCCACTGACCAAGCAGTGGTGTTAGCCACGTTGGGACGTGTTGGCCACCATGAAACTGAATAAAGTCTCAGGTTCGCCCATACCATAGCTAGTAAGCTAAGAGCTACTGCTAAATGCTCAACACTGCTTTCAATCACTTTGTTTTTCTCTTCATTCGTCTTGTCTGAAATGAGCTTCCATAGTTCCTCATCCTCTGAGATCTTTCTCTTTGTCATGTTAGCAGACAGCGTAAACATTGCTTAGCAATGACAGAGGTCAATCTCTCACTTCAAATGCTTTATGTATATCATACTCTGTATTTCCACCATCAGGACAATGACAGTAAATATAACTTGTCACCACTGTTTGCCCCCTTATTCTTCATGACGGATCCAACAGCAAACACAGTTGGAGCTCGCTGGCACAGAAGAAGATATACTCTTGTGCATTGTGACATTTTCAAAACTTGAAGTCAGTGTTAATGATGTTAATGGTCACTGGTGTCTAACGAGTGTGTCTTAAATGTGTAATCAGTACATCATTTCATTTTGGGGTCTGAAATGTCAGAAAATAATAATAAAAAAACAAAACCAGCAATCAATGCATCAACTCATTCAGGCCCACATGTGAAGCAAGTTCCATAAAAGAAAATCCTTTGAAAAATGTCTCTAAAATAAATAAATCGCATGAATAAGACACAAATTAATTTAAATAAATAGATAAATAAATAAATATACTTATGTACAATGACGAGATTCAGAGCAACCTCTAAAATGAGCCATCTTTAAACACTACACAGACCAACTAAAAACATGCATGGTCTGCCATGTCCATACAGTTCACCCACCTTCTCAGTGTAGTCAGCGATCCGTTAGAGGCAAGCAGACACATTTCATGCGCTGCTGCAGATGCATTTGGCACAACCTAATACTGGCTGCACTGATCCAATCCCTTCAGTTGGCAGTCAGCAAATCAAGCAGCACAGTGGCTCACTGTTGGGCTCATTCACTTCTTTCAATATCAGATGATCATCGGAAAGACACATGACTACTGGCTTTATAGTTACTTGTTTTTCCTTTGAACATCAATAACTTATTTCCATGTTAAATAAATACTTTGGTTTATGGGAGACTTTACTATTTCACCTTCGTACCCAGAGTCAGACACCATGAAGATCAGTTCAGCAGTACAAAGGCATGTTGAATACTAAGCTGAGCGTAGCTTAGGTCACTTTATGGATGTGGAATCAAAAGGTCTAACCTGTTTCTACCTGCTTTGTTTACAGCCTGTAGCCGTGTTAAGCGAATTTTAATCAAATTCTAGAAATATCGTAAAAATAAATACAAATCAACTGGTTCGAAGGAAATAAATAAGTTGGCGCTATAGCTTAGGCATGGCTGCAATCAGCCAGTAAACAGCAGAAGGAGGTTGTGAACCGGCCATCTAACCCACGTATCATAGTCAAATAGTCTTCAGGAGTTTGTTTTAATTATTCTTTCATGTCAGCTCGTATTGGCCATGTTTCATGCTGTCTGGAGACCAAGACAAGCATTCACACATGGTGGGGATACCCGAGAAGAAGCCAACAACAGAAACAGCTGATCAGTCATGTGAGTTCAATGTTCACTATATCAGAATGTATTCAGAAAAAGAGTTTCCATAACCCATGTAGCCCAAAACCCCCTCAAGTGATTGAGGGAGTTTCATCGAATTTAGCCATTTCTACTGCGATGCTTCCAAATGTGCTTAAAGATATGTGACAGGAAACACAGCTTGTGTGATCATCTGATTGCTAATGTCTCTTTGCAGTTTGTTGTAGCTTTATGGTTCCAGTGTCATTATTGCTAATAGAACTAATGGCTGGAGGTGTGAAATAAACCTAATTGTTCAAATGGTGATTGAGATTGCGGTTGGAGGACCGTAAAGGACCCCTTTACTGTCATTGTGTAAACTGAAGACCCCTGACTGACATATTTTATGGAGATTTCATATTATATTAAATGCATAATAACAACTGTACAGAACAACTGATACACTACTATAATAAACCAAAAATACTAAGCACAATAATTGTGGGAAGTGTAGGTTAAACATTTGGATGAATTTTTGAGCAGATTGTTTCTGTGAATATCATATCAGAGATGAGAGTTTTTTAGGAACTTTTGATACACTGCTGTCCGTATTAAGTATTTTATTTTTAACAATAATGCATACTTAATAGGTTTTCTTCTCCCTGACATTTGGCCATTGTTCTATTAGCTCTTTGGTTGTTTTAACTGTGTGCTTTTCTAAGGGCTCGTCTCCACCAAAGCAGTTCTTTACCAGCTGAGAACTCGCCCAGCTGGGAACACTTTGGAGGCACAGCGTTCGTTCAGCTGAGGCGCTTTGGTTGCGTCTGGTTGCTATGATACGGAATATCCTCGAAAGTAAAAATGTGGGCACGAGGTAGAGTGGCTGCTGTGGCTCTGGATGACGCACGCAGGGAGAGAGGACAGACCTGCTAGTCTATGTGGCTCATGAGATCTTAGGTTTTGTTTGCATTCAGATCACCATTATTATCCCACATGAGGGAACTGGTTTGGTCCAGTGCGCCTTGAAGTCTACAGTAAAAACCATAAAAACAATAGCATAACATAGGCCTACACAATGTGACCACAACATGCTCATAGAAAAACACATTTGATCAGGTCTTTGTGGTAGGCTTTTTGTCCCGCCCCTCCTCCACTGTGATTGGACGGCTGGGTAAGAAGTGACGAGCGCAGGGTTTCTACACAAAGTTTAACATTTCTCAACTCTCTGAAAAACAAAACAGCAAATGTTCAGCGCTCGGCGAAGAATAGACATCCACCGCCTCGTTTAGCAGCGTGAATAAGAGGCAAAGAATTCAAAAACTACCCTGGCCTCAGGAGAAGGCGCTTTGGTGGACATCGCCCCTAATGCAGGACGAGGCAGTTCAGCAGAGAGGGCAGGCTCTGAGAATATACAGTAGCTGTTGTCCAGGTCTTCACTGTCCCCTCATCCTGTTATCCTAATGAAATAGTTATTTTTAACTTTGGATTCTTTTTTACAGAAATCAATGACATGCTGAGATTTAGGCCAACTGTATATTTTTTAAGTCTTACACCCCTTACAATCAAGAAGGCCTTGCGGCCCACATGAAGCTTTTACGACCCCAAGTAGGGGTCAGGAGCCCCAGGTTGGGAACCAGTGCAGTATATCTTAATGATTCAAACTGTTCTCTGTGATGCTGTTTGGAACGCTGCCGTAATTCTGAACATCAGCGTTGGTTTATAACCCTGGATGCCCATCAGAAGGGCCCTAAGCACGTCTTAAAGGCTTCTGAAAAAACGCTGTGCAAAATATAGACGGAACATCCCATTTAAGTCAATTGTTTTTACATCACACGGATGCCATTTGGCCAGTCAACAAATAAAGCGTTTGAAAAGCAACAAGAGCATACTCCTGAACAATGGCAGCTTATTTTCTGCTTTGTGTTTTTGCTCACATTTTTATTTACTTCAAAAACAATGGTTTGCCTTTTAAAAGGCAATTTGCAGTTTCAAGTTTCAAATAAACTCACTTCTCAGTTTGCAGTGATATTAGGAATGTATGATGTAAATGACGATAGTAAAATATCATAATATTACAGCCCAAACATTTACACGTTTCTTTCCACCAAAATAAGTGTGTAGATGCAGTTTTTTTTACACACAGAAGAACTGAATCAAATAGGCGATGGACCGCTTCTGATGTCATGAAGGCGGAACAGTTGGTAAACAATGAAAATGCTTCAGCGGTTACTTTTATAATGTCTACTCTCAAACCAGAGCTGGTGATTGTTGGAACACTGGAAAGACTAACAAAGACGTGTATAGTTCATGGTTATGTTAAGAAACGTTTGCGCTCATTTGGTGGTTGACGAAAACAAACAAAAGGCAGTGCGGCACACCTCGCTTTCTCAACCTGCCCAACGCTCTCTGTCTGATCTGGACCTAGCTCTTTGCATTAAGCGTTTATCTCCACCAAACCACAGCTGCTGATTGTTGCAACAATGGAATTCAAGCTTTCGGTGCGTTTTATTCTGTTTCTGTCGACTTTGAATGAAGTGTGTTTCGACGATCAAGGAGATAAAATGACTGTTGTCTGACTAGAGTCTGATGGCTGGAGAGAAAATGTATTGTTTTATATGTTAAGAAATTCGAATAATTGCCCAAATCCCTGTTCACTTCAACGCGTGTCAAATAGCATGGCACCGGAAAATGAGCGTATCCACTCGGCTGTCATGTTTCCATCACTGCCCACCGGAGCTGGAGCTGACTGCCAAACCTAACCGTTTCCACTGAAGACAAAAGCCAGATGTTAGTGGGTGGTGGTGTGTTTTTGTGCCGAGGGAAAGGCCTTTTAGTGACGTTAGATCAGCCATTGATTGTAGGGCTAAGGACTGAAAGGAGCTGCCACTAGATCCCACTCACACCAACTGATTGAGCTAAGCTAGGCTGAACATGGTTTGAAAACATAAACGTAAAAAAGGACATTCATAGGTTTCTATGACTCTGGGTTTGTAGGAAAATTTCGGAAATTCTTGCAAAGCGTATTATCTTTTAGAAAGTGCCACAACACAAGGACCGTTAGCTCCTGCTCATGTCTGTCCCAGGCCTGTAGTGGACTCTGTAAGAACGGCTCTAATATGAAATACTGAAATCCCACAGCCTCCCTTTTTAACCGTTTGAAGTAACCTGACCTTAGCAAAGGGGTCACACAATGCATTAGCAGCTTCAGAACCATCACTGAACATCATGTGTTTCTTTCAGTATTTAACAGATGAAAAGAAGAGGAAAAAGGAGTTAATGCCAAGACCAGTTATCCCCCAATTTGGATAAAACTACCTCACCAACATGCCCCCTGCTAACTGAGGTTATTTAGTCCAGAAATACCATCACTGTCACTTTAAGGCCCAAAGTCGCCTTGTTTTCTACTCATTTGTGTGAAAAGCATTTTATCTTCAGCAGAAGCTCTCAAGCCTTCAAGTCAGATGCTTTGTGCACACTTTGCTTTCCATTTGACTGAATGCTTGTTCATGTTGCACGGCCTCTGCAAAACATTTCCCCTTTAGAAACACAACATTCACAGTTTACGACAACTCGTCCTCCGGATCTGTAAATGAAATATGTGTACAAAAAATGTAAGAGAGAGGGAAAAGTGAAGCGACGAGCCAATCGCCTTCAACACACACAAAAAAATGTAAACTGATGTTTTTCAAATATTCTCCTTTGTTTTGTATTGACACGGAAATGGAAAAAGGTAGTGGTATCCCAAAAAGGCGGGAACCTGTGAGTCCATGACCCACACTTCACACAGAGGAAGGGAGAAAAGAGAGAGAGAGAAGTTCCATCCCTGTCATTCACTTCCTGAACTGCACCTTTAGTTCTCTCTGATTACTGTTTCTCCAGCTGGCATTATGGTGTCTCTCTAAACAAGAGAAAGCTAAACCTTTGATACCTTCTAAGAAATAAATATCAGCAGTTATAATACAGAGTGATGGAAATAGAAATGTCAGTACTCATGGCCGTGAGGACTTACATTTGTTTGACTTACCATATACAGTGTGTGTGTGTGTGTGTGTGTGTGTTTACAGTGTATGAGCGCATGTGTGAGTCCAACTGTATCGGCTCAAACACAAGTCTTTATTTCCCTTTTTCTAATTCCTCCATGCTTCATCTGGATATGTCACTCCCTTCAGTATCCATTCACCTAAGAAAAACATCTTAAGTCTTTCGAGAAGCCCTCCTCTGTAAACAAAACCCTTTAGTTGATTCTGAAAAAGAGACTTGCTGTCAGACAAGACGTCACACCAAGCTCTTCACTCCGGCATCTTCTTAAATGAAGCTCAAATGCCACGCCATCATCCTCTGGGTCTGGCATGTACCAACATCTGCCCTTCCTGCCTCTCTGTCCTCCTATGGGTCAGTCTACTCAATGGGGTGTGGAGGAAGATGGGCGGGGAAGGGGGCAGGTAATGAGGAACGGTGTGGCACGGGAGTTCAGTCTCCGGACTAGCATTTGAGAAAAGAGTGAGGAAGAGGAAGGAGGAGGAAGGTAAAATCATGGCGGTCGGTCGGTTGGTCAGTGGGGTGGGTCGGTGGTCTTACTCAATGACCATGCAGTGGGGCAGATGCTGGGAGTAATATTTGAAGAGCTCGGCGGTGGCTCCGGGGCAATTGGTCAGCTCCAGCTCCTCCAGTTCCTGCAGCTGGATGAGGCCTGACAGGCCGGTGGTGGTCAGCAGGGGGCATCCTGGGGGTGGGGGGGTGGGGGGCACAGCAGGAGGGACAACATTCAGCTGTGGGCTGGGTATACAGCCATAAGATTACAAAGTGTAGTTGCAGTGCTTCTGACAGTTCCTCATTATGACTGTGTTGATAATTACTTTCCAATTATTTTCTTTGGCGTGACCGGATGTGGTCATCGAGGCATGCTTTTCTGTTACAGGAGCGGCCACTAGATGGCACTATAAGGCTCCAGAACACAGCACAGAGCAGTACAGCTAATCAACTTAAATACAGTGTAACATGGTTCACCCGGTTCAATTGTATGACGAGCATATTAATGGATTAGCCACAATGTTGCAAGAATAAAATGTGCACTGACACCCTTTTATATGTGTTAAGATTCTCTTTAACATGAATAAGTTATTGCTTCTTAACTCCTTATCTAAAGTCTATATTTAATGTTATGATGTTTGAAACATCTGTGTCAGTGTGTATAGAATCAGCTCAGGTCACAATAGGTCAACAGAAGGAAGCACTATTGGAGGTGTAACTCATACCTGCAAGAGACAGTAGACGAAGACTTCTCATTCCAAACAAATGCTGGAGACCAAAATCTTGCACCTGTGTGTACACACACACACACACACACACACACACACACACACACACACACA